TCTCTCTCTCTCTCTCTCTCTCTCTCTCTCTCTCTCTCTCTCTCTCTGTCTCTCTGTGGACAGATAGTGGCAAGCAAGGAAACCTTCTTGAGGGCTGTTGCATTTGACTTTTTCAAGTCCAACAAGCGATTGGATCACGTGCTGGGTTTTGAAAAGAACGAGGTTATGAAGGTACAGGACCCATTAACGATGCTGCTTTCGTCAGGAGTTTCATTTGGTAATGTCCGTCGATTTATTTTTTTTGTTTTACTGCGTCTGGCACTCCTTTTCAAGGATTGCACCATACCAGAGTTGCTTTGAGTCAGGGAACCCATCTTTCTCTTTCCTTCTTCAATGGTTATGGGCATGATATGATTAGGATGCAGGACTAGTTTGCATCCTTTTCAAGGGCGAAGGGCATAAGCAACCCGTTTATGCTGAAAAGGATGCAACTACTGTCTTCACCCGAATAGGACGCCCGGTCATTATCGCCGCATCTGGACCGAAAGTTGTGCCAGATACAGCTATAATGACCGGGCGTTCTATCGGGTGAAGACGGTAGTCCTGCCAAAATTTACATGGGGGCGCAGCTGCACAGTCTGGTGTCAATCACACCCACGGGCACCTGCATTCGAGGTCCACTCTGGCAGTCATAATTAGGCTGCACTGTGTTAGGCAGAAGACGGTAGGTCGCCAATCCACAAAAATGTATGTGATTGGATCATAGATGGTTACTATCTATTGATCAATGGTCATGGATGGGGGGGCTTAGAAAATATAAAGACCCTTCTTAAGGGCCCATTTTTGCATTTGCACCCAATGCTGTCACCACATTACCACCGTCGCAAACCCGGTCGGTCACTGATGGGCCCTTAAAAAGAAGAGTCTTTAGATTTTGGAAAGCCCCCTTCCAAAATCTTAAGGCTGAGACATGATACTGATCTGATCCGCCGGACAGCGGCTGCCCAACTGCGCTAATCCGGTCGGTCAGTTTGGCCTTTAGCCACCGGTCCATTTCTCACCTACTCTGTTCCGACACGTGCAGTCTATAACCGCTGCAAAAATTGTTGTTCAGGTCTACCGGACCGAAAAGGCTGGCGGTGCCAGGCAAATTGTAGTTCGCGTGACTAGGTGTTTTTAGGTATAGTATCCTGGAAAGCGCGCTTGGGCCTAAAAAAAAGTAAAAAAATGGAAGAGATGCTAGCAACCTGGTAGAGAGCATCACAGGGAGTTCTTATCCAGACATTGTAAGAACAAGGGATGGTACAGGTCTTCCGCCGACTACCTGGACTGAATTTTCTGCCAGATTCAGCTAAAATTACCATATGTTCTATTGGGGGGCCAGATGGTAGCAACCTGGTAGCCGAGCTATCACTGGACCACTGAAGGGCTACCAAAACGTCAGAGCCAAGCCCAGCAAGGGAAAGGGACAAAAGGGGG